TCAACTTGCTTTTTATATACATGTATAGACCTGTTTTGAGAGATGAACATGGTGATTTTATTCAAACCATATATCAATGATATTTAGATACAGATGCTTGTTATTTTAATTGAGATTCATACACAATTGAATTAGTGAATATTTAGTTTGTATTCATGTCTTTGTCGATTCCTCACTAATATATGCATTGCGCCTGATTCGAGTGATAGGTATATGCCTTGCATGATTTAGTTCAAACTCAGTACAATGGTTATGCGTACTGGAATTTTGTTACACATTACATCTTTTACCGATTACACTAAATAGACAGTGCCAATTACAGTGCATTGTCAACAAGAGCTGATCACATCCAGGATAGGAATGTACACAATACAGTATGCGTATAGCCAATAGTACCTCCGTAAGCCTGGACAACAGCTAATTATTTTGGCATTGAATACGGAATAGGAAGTGAATTCCCAATGCGTTTCTGCTTGTATTTAGACAAAGATGGGTGTTTATATTCACTGCTCCATCATGAGAAAGGGTTGTAAATAACTCTGTTAAAGACAGGAACAGGGACTATGCCTTTTTTATATTTTTTTAGGTACATGCAATACAAACAAAGTGTTTGTAATACAGGTTGTACATCAGAAGATGAGGTTGTTACTACTTGTTATATACACAGTTATTTATCCAGTGATTAAAGGTAAATATGAAATGCATGTTTGTCAAGTATTATTATTTTGGCTATAATGACTGATACAATGTGGTGTCGAGTAGCATTGTAAATACATCACAAATACTGGATTCTGATGCACGTCAGTTTGTTTGTACCAATTTCTGAGATACAATTTTAATAATGATAAATTTGCTCACTGTAGCAACGACTAGACATACTTTTGTGTCCTTAAATCTTCAGTCACCCAAATTTCTCTAATTTGTTTTGGATTAAACTTTGTGCATTCTGATTATGTAATTTGGATAATTAGCCAACTTTTAGTTTTTCCGGTCATCAATACCCAATCATCGCCTTTAATTAAAACAATGGGACATCAAAACAATGTTTTGTGTAAACTAGTAATTTGTACTATTAGCCAGTTTTCAGATTTTCCACTGATATCTTGAGAACGATGCATCTTAGAACGAAATCTCTGTTTTGTTCAAACTGCTTTCTACAAGCATAACATTGAAAACTCTTTGGTTCACAAATGTGCACTGATCAAGGTAACTGCGGTCACATGGTGGATTTTTATCATGCTTTTATTCTTGAATATCATCATCATATACATCAGTATCAGAACATCCTTAAATACTCCAACAATCATCTTAAACGTTCTCTAAATCCGAGATAATATCACGAAACTAAACCAAATCTAACATTAATGTTGACACTATTGCCATTGTGAATTACTTTTGTAATCACGCAGTGAAATATGCACATTTTGTGCGATCCCATGATGTGTGTATTGCTTTGATATCCTTCTATTGTTGTCAATATTTCAGTTAAGATACCTACCATTCAATTGCAACTTGATGTTTACCAGCACACTTTTATACTTAACGCAAAAAAAACGCATATGTGTACATAAACCATTACTTAAAATCGCTTTAATTTGTCAATTATTAGGTGCCTCAGCATTGTCATGGACTGAAGACCCTATAAATACAGTAGCAGTACACAATACAGCTGTTACACTGAGATGTGCATTTGATGGTTCTCAGCATAATTCATATCCACAGTGGCAGCAAATACGTGATCCACCATTATCAACGAGGATCGTATCGCGTGGTGCTAATATTAACACTGAAGAATGTAGTACTTGCAGTCTAAGTGGTGACCATGGTAATGGTGAATTCTATCTGACAATAAATCCTGTGAATGTGAACACAGATGAAGGGTTGTGGGAATGTGCAGCATTCGGTGCGACTCCTAGTACCAAGTCAGCTACATTGACTGTATTAGGTATGATATTTTATTAATTTACAAATTTAGTACAGAAGTACTAGCTTCTGTAGTAATTGCACCACATCTGATCAGAATTTTGTAAAGTTCGAAAACAGGAACTATTATTTTGGGTTGTATTTATCGTGCCAACTATCCATGCATTAACTAAGTTTACTGCCTCGGAAAACAAACCATATTATAAATATTTTGAACCATGCATAAACTCTCTAAACACGGCATTGACATTTCTCATGATGCACTGCTTTAGTCCCCGTTTGGACAAAAAAGGCTCTTATACTTTCACCATTGTACATCAATGCTTCTATTCATCTGCCCTACCTGCATCTCAGACTAGCCTGGGCCGATTACATACAAACTGTACATGCACATCATATTATATATATACACAGGTATTTGTTTCATTGTCAATTCATGATCCGGGCATGGACATATCTCATTCATACTTTATCTATTAAAAAAAACATAAAAGGCACCTCATTTGTTTTAAATAGCAGATTGGCAGCCAGTTTGTATCACAATTGTCATATGCATTTGCCCTGACTAGAAAAAGATCCATCTCTCTTAATTTGAATAACCAATAATTTCTCAATTTATCAGATCAAGACCCAGTCTGTCCTAACAACAATGGCAACAATAAAGTAATTAATGGGACTACAGTTACATTAACTTGCAATTTGAACAAAGCAGCGCCCCCCGGTGAACTAGTATGGATGATAAATGGTGTTGACACCAATGTGAAGGGTAATAGACCACTGCAATGGAATAAACTGGTAACAAGATCTAATGCAAATAACAGATATAATTGTAGATACAGCCATGGTACACTGACGCAGTCACGAACATGTGACAATGATTTTGTATTTGATGTGCAATGTAAGTATACAACGCTATATGTCAGACATGATCTCGGGGACAATAGGCAATGTGAAGGGCAATATACCACTAGTAGTGGCTAGTATCCAGATCGAATGCAAATGATAGATACAACATTCAGGCAACATTCTGTAATTGCTATCATACGTATGTTATGTTATTACAGTGAAGTCTGAGTATAAAGTTTAGCTATCTTTAAGCTAGGTTAGCTTGCTTTCAAAACCATCATATGCCTAAATTTATCTTCCTAAATATGTCTAGTATCAGTAGCATATACTATGAAGAATAATCGAGTAACAATTATTATTAGCAATGATACCAGATTATTTTTTGTAAAGATTAAGTTTTTATGAAAGGGAAATCCAGGAAAAACCAACATGGAAGTACAGTTTTGAAAGATACAATTTTAGCCTCTTAACAAAAGTGTGCAGATGATAATTTTAGCGACAGAATATTAATTAGCGAAAAGAATATTAATTATACACCACCAGAATTTACAAGGTTAAAATTATTGGAAGTCTATTGGAACACAGTCAAAGTCAAAATCTTCATCATTATCTCCATTGTTAAATCGTACACAAACTCTTGATAACAAATATTTTCTGCCATGATGTTTTGTTGCACGACTTGACGTGAAACATCGTCGTTTGACCTGATAGGTCTGTTATTCTGACGGAATGCCGAACTGAATTAAAGATGTCAAAATACATTCTGTTGGAATGATTTCGGCAAGAAAACTGCATGGTCTAAAAAATGGTTATTAGCAATTGTTGAAAGGTAAATTATATATGGACTTAACCGCCTTTCACATTCGTTAAAACCTCATTGTCGAAGTGTAATTTATGCACACCATGGTCACATTCACAAAATATTTATGGTGGTCGATTTCTGTGTTTTATGATTAACTTAGGGCATTTTGAAAGGGATGGGTGCTTAGCCGAACGTGAACACGAAAATAGAAATGTCCCATCGGACGAGTACAGTACTATATTTTTCTAAGACCAGTCCACCAGTCTATTTCATTCATATATACATTGCCCGTAGGTAGGGAATACTGTATATAGCCACCTACATCTTAAAACTGAATATCACCTCGACTATGCAGTCCAGATATTCCTCAGACTGTTTATACTGTATGTAATATTTCGCAAGTGGCAGATACCTTTACCCACCTTAACCTGTGTTGGACCGCTACATGTCACCGAGGTTCCACCCCCTGCTAATACTTTCATGTACTTGATTAACTAAAGACTTCATTCTATCCCTCCCAT